GTTGAGGTGGCCCACTTCAAGGCGGGTCCCTCCAGCAGTCCCAGAATCGTGGCCACCTTAGTCTGTTCTGCACAGACGAAGCCCCTCAAGTAGGATTTGGTCCCAACAGCCCTGTCCCCAACATCGGTCATTGGGTCATCCCCTCTGAACTTGTTGGGAGCTGGGATCTTGGGACCCCTCTGGTCTCCTGCAACAACAAATGCATAAGATGGTCGGGCTGTAAATTTTTGGGAAGGAGGTGGTGAAGGGGAAGAATGGCGTGAACCAGAAGGGGTTGAAGAGGGAGAAGAGGAAGGTTTGGGTTTCGCTGAGAGGACAGGAGACAGGGGAGCAATCAGTTTGGCTGCTGTCAGCTGAGCAGTCAGGTCGTGGATTGCTGTCAGGATCTTGGACTGCTGAACTGCCAGGTCATCCACCCTGTGCTCCAGACGACCAATACGGTCATCCCAGTTAGTGAAATAGGAACTGGTGGTTTTGTGTTCTAGAATGGCCCATTCCGCCAGGTTCCTAGTCACCTGTGCACAACGCTCATCAGACACTAGCTGCTCCAACAGATACTCCTGTCGCGAAGCATCTTTGCAGCCTCTAGCTCGGTTGCCTTCTGTCTCTCCAACTCATCAAGCAGGGCCTATTCTTGTTGTAGCCTTTCCTGAATCTCCTTCTTCCGCCGTTGAGTAGCAGTCAGAGGGGTAGTAGGAGTGGAGGTAGAAGATTGTGCACCTTCCACCTTCATGACCACTTCCACCTGTGGCTGCTGCTGAGCGCCTGGATCAACCATTTTCTGCTTTCAGAACACACAAAATAGACAAACAACAGAGAGTATGCAGCGATGTATGGATCCCTTCAGGTACTTAGAAATCACTGCCAACTCATACACAGAAGTCTGGTGGGTGATTGGGAAACAAACGGTTTGGGTTGGAACTGTTTCTCTGGGGTCAGGGGTCAGATAGACAGTTAGTCCAACAAAATCAACCACACGATTTCCTTTTACTGACCTTGCACCACACTGGAGTTAGTAAACACAGTTCACTACTCTTCCAAAGAAACAGTAGATTTCCAAAGCCCACTAGAAAACAAGAGTTGTCAGTGGGAATGATAGAACATGGCAAGTACAGACTAGAAAGATCAGACAAGCAAAGCGATTCAGTCAGAAACCCTGAATCCTAGCTCAAACTCAGTTTTCAGCCCTGATGACTCTGGCGGCCATACCCTAGGATATGGCGAAGTGCAGTATTCAGTGTTTCCAGTGATATACTGGAAATCCAATCAAGCACTTCTGCAGGATAGCCTATTTTTGGATTGCGTTTCACTGGGGACTGATAAACTCAAATTCTGACGGACATAATTGAAGTTATGACTGGCCCTAGGTAGCAAAGGCTGTAAATAGATTCAGCGCAAAACTACAATTCACTGTATCACTACTTTTCCAGTACAGGATTCACAATTTGAACATCCAAGATCCAGCGCAATACTGTAAAGCAGTCACATAACAATTTTGGATACAAAAGAGTAAACAGAGGGTTAGAATTGAGCAGAGGAAGGTAGGGGAGAGATGGCTATGGCTGTCATGCAGTCTGCGATTTTCACATCCAGTCACTGATAGACTGATAGACCATGATTACTGACTAATCTAATCCTATCTGAATCGCTATATAGGTAGGTGCATGGAACGGACTCACTTTTAGAGTATCTGGCAAAGGTTGATGAAGATCTGGTTATGGCAGACTGAAACCCTCATCTCGCCACGTTCTTCCAGAGCTCCTTCCTCACTGTCCCACACACAGAACTGCTTCAAACTTGTCGATCCTCATCACGATCCTGAAGCGCTTCACTCCCTTTAGTCAGATTCACTGAATCTGACCCTGTGGCACCCAAATCGCCAACTGATGAAAATCTCGCCACAGGACCTGAGATCCGTTGATGCTATAAATAGCCCCAGATGGGGTTATTTCATCCTGAGATTGACACAGACTGTCAATCTCCCTCAGCGCTGCTCAGGGATGAAGCCGCTCAACAATCCCTGAAGTCTCCAGGGGTAATTCGCCACTCAGGGGTACTTCGCAACAGTACCCTCAGGGTTGGCTATGGCGAATTGACCCTGTTCTCGCCACTTTCCAGACCAGCGCCCTGACAGGCTCAGTGCGCTTGCTCGGTGCAAGCACTGAACTCCTGAATCCACCACTTGAAATCTTTTTCCCTACTGACTCAGTACTAGGGAAGATGAATGGCTATGAAACTCTCGCCAATATATCGCCATGATGAAGAAGATGCCCTTTGCACTCAACCCTCAGTGCTCCAATTCCAATCCCAGCTCCGATACCAACTGTTATGATCTTGGTTGTCTGACGATTTTTACCGCCACTCACACACAGACAATCTCATACACGCCCATACATGCACAAGAGAAGGGGGAGAGGAGACAAAGTCCAAACTGCACACAAATCAGAGTAGATAGCGGAAGCACAACCATGCACAGATGGGGAGAGGACACAAAGTGTTTCTCACTCTCTGACGATACTCCCAGCAACCAGTCACAAGAAAGAGCCTGCGAGGATAACAATTGGAATACAGACTGATGAGCCAAGTAACCAAAAGTCGTTACAAAGTTTGTTCCAGTATCTCGCCACTCTCGGAACCTCACACTCCTTTCTCTACCCTACACCCAGTTAGTAGCGCCCGAATGGCCTCCCAGAGGCCAGCGCCAACCACCCAGAGGCCAGCGCCAACCACCCAGATGAAGAATTGATCCTGCGATGAAGTCTTCAGTGCCGCTGAACAACTCTGACGAAGAACCGGCAGCTATGGCGGTCACCACCCCCAATGTGGCATACTGCGTAGCCACACAGGCGTGCAGGGCCCGTCCCGCATTCCCAGCCTAAAAGCCTAGAAATAAGGGCTTACAGGCCCCTGTTTCAGCCTGAAAGACCGAAAAACGAGGGTTTGCAGGCCCTATGTCGTTTCGGCCTAAAACAGGGTTTTTCAGCCCTGAGGCTTTTCAGCTTGAAATGGAAGGCCACTTTCGGGCCCTCATAAGATCGACCTGTCCTAACAGTCAGGCACAAAACCAGGGTTTTCGGAACAGGCTATCTTTAGCCTGTTCCCACGACAGCCTCAAGCAGGAGCTGCAGCGGCAGCCCYTGACTCCCTTCGGCATTGGCAAGAGCAGCCTCCTGGACTGCCTCGCCTTGCAGTTAGGAGGCAGGCCGAGTAGTACATAGGGAGTTCCCATGCACTTCTCGGGTAGGTAGTTGGACAGATGGCAGAAGTAGTCTTCAGGATTCGGCCGCAACACTCAAGAGGAGCGCTGCAGGAGTAGCTTAGCGCTAGCAGTAGTCTTCAGCGCTGGGCGCTAGTAGCCATAGCAGTAGTCTTCAGCGCTGGGCGCTAGTAGGTGGTAGTAGTAGTATTGGGAGAGATGGCTGGCGGAGGCCAGTGAGACTTACCTGTGGCGCCATAGCTCCAGCTCCATCTTCGAGGTACCTGCATCAAGGCGCCAACTTCACAGGTTAGTACCGGACTGAGAGAGAGAGAGAGAGAGTTCTTCTTCTTCCTCTTCTAAGTCCACCATCTCTTCTTCCCCTCTCACCACCCGACTTCTCAGTATCAACAGACTACGACAGAGAGAGAGTAATGACTTGAGACTTGACGACATTGGATCCAGACTCGACATTAGGATTCAGACATTTTGACAGGGACTATTTGGGCCTGTGCCGAAGACTTGGTGTTGACGACATTCCCATCTTCCCCTCTTCTTCGTCTAACGCCCCTCTTCTTCGTCTGTGTATGGTTGGGGCTGGCGCATTCTTCCTGTGTGAGCGCCAGACCCCTTCACACCATGGAGTGATGATGATGATGTATGTTTAAGGCTGCATTGCAATATTGATTGTTCGGATCATCGGTATCTAAGTTTTCCGCTGCGCTATCTTGTACTTTGTTAGAGAGGTCGGTTCTTGTTCTGGTCTGCACCTTTACAGTATGCAACAGTTTGGTATCGGAGCGGACCTCTCATTCAGAGGACCCGCTCAATCAAGTAGCCAGCTTTCTATTGATTACTCATTAGTAAATCAAGTAGGACTTCGTCAAATCTCTAAAATTTTTTCTCGCAACAACTATCTGAAAATTTCTGATAATCGCATTTCGTTTTACCTGAAATTTCTGATATTAGTATTTCGTTTTCACGCAACTAATATCTGAAAATTTCTGATAATCGCATTTCGTTTGTCTGAAAATTCCTGATAGTAGCATTTCGTTTCTCTGATATTTGCATACATAGCTGAAAATTTTTGATGTTAACATTTCGTTTTCTAGGCATAATAGGATAACGATAGAAGTGGTCATATTCTCGGAAACCGGATTTATTCTTTTCTGAAAATCAAATTTCCATTCTATCTCGCAATTTTTTTTTGAAAACCGAAATCTTGCGAAGCCTACCAACATTTCGTTAGGCATATTCGGAGGTTGCCATATTCTCAGAAACTGGATTTAGTTCTTTTCTGAAATCGCATCTCTACTCTATTTCGCAATTTTTTTTTTTTCAAGATCGCATTTTGTGAAAGCCGAAACTTTGCGGAACCTAGCCTAGATCTCGCTCATAGTACTCTTCTGACATGTCTCACTCATAACAGATCGACAAATATACAAAAAAAAAAGAAAAAAAAAAGGAAGTAGCCCTTTTTTATTATTATTATTATTATTTTTTTAATCTGTTGATTAGGGCCGGGAGGAAAGTATTGTTGGGTTGGTTCCCTACCTGCGTTTTCCCTCCCACCCACCCCTTTGCATGCATTTCCAGGTTGGCACAGTGCCACGTCAGCAACAGTGCCACGTCAGCAGTGCCACGTCAGCCACAGTACCACGTCAGCAGTGCCCCGCCACCATGACGGGCTCAGTTCTGGGCATGCTAGGCCAACTGGCAAATGAGTCCATTGCCAAGTACCGACAGCGTTTTGAAACTTAGCTCGCACTAATCGCGGCTGAGGAACAGCGCCAGCTAGCAGCCGAGGCTCTCCGCCTACAGGCTGAAGCGGCGGAAACAACTGAGAAGCAGCGGCTTCAGGCCAAAGCAGACGTAGATACCCAGGCACGCCGCAAGGAAGCCCAGGATCTGCTACAGCGGCATGAAGCCACCAGCATCTAAAGGCTCAAGTTTTGGCACTTTGAACCATCCGAGGAGCACGACGACGCGACACCAGAGGAGCAGCACAAGGAATTCATGGCCAAACTCGTGACTCGGTTGGTCTACACTTGTAACCACCTGCAGCGGGCCATGCGGAACCATAAGGCTCAGCAAGAGGATGCAGCACGGACACTTGATTCCCGTATGCAGGACTTGGAGCAAGTTGCACCAAGACCGGAGGCTGGCGAGAGCAGCAGTGCACCCTCTGCCCGCCAGCTAGAGCAACGCGTCGACCACGTCGTTGCAATGCTCGGCGACATCAGCACCTTCGCTGCGCCAACCACCATCAACAAACAGCCAGACACCTTGAAGACCGAGGTCCAGCAACTGCAGCTGCCTAACAAGGATGGCAACAGCACAACGCATTATAAGATGCCGACATTCCAAATTGAGAAGTTCGATGACTACATGCATCAAGACCCGGTCCTCTGGTGGGAGGGCTTTACAACGCAACTTCGGATTCTGTTCGTCGCCAAGCACGCGTACATTGGCGCCCTGTTTCTCAACTCAAAGGGCGGATGCCAGATCTGGTTAAGCCACCTGGCAACCGTCCACGACGTCGACGTCGCAGATCTGAAGGATAAGATTTCATGGGTCAAGTTTCACTTGACCGAGGCGGAATACAAGTGGCGCGGCCGCTACGACTGCTGCGATTGGTGCAACAGCACCAAGCACAAGACCTCCCAATGCCCTGATCAAGGCAAGGAGGATGTTCGGCCTCGTATTAACTCGGGAAACTGAGTCGCGCAGGAGGTGAGGCGACTCCACCTCTCACTCCGCCAGATTCGGCCGCCTTGCTAGCAGCCTCCTACACATCTGGGGAGGATGCGCATGTCGCAAGTCCTCGGTTCACTTACGAGGATTATGCTGTCCACTTGGTCCCACCGTTGGACCAACCACTCCACGTGCAACAATCTACTGCATGCATGGTTTCATCACCATCGGCAACCGATTCGACAACTTCGCCGCCATCTACTTGGGGATTCAACGTCATGTTCAAGACTTGAAGAGCTCGACCCGTTGACATTTGCAGACTTCCAATGGATGCCCCTTCCCTGGTCCGGTCGATTGCCGAAACCGCATTGCAACGTGCTCATGGCACAATTGCGGGATTACTTGCACACTGCATTACCAACTCCGTTGATGGACGCCGGAGTAGAGGTTGTCGACCTTCACGCCTACATTGCGAAGATCGACCGCGAGTTCAAGACACAACGGTACGACGGCATCCACTCACCATTGTTATATGTATGCATTCAGATCGGAGAGGCGACCTGCAGCGCTTTGATCGATTGCGGAGCATCTCGCAACTACATGAGCCAGGACTTTATGGTACGCGCCGGCCTTGGCCCACGCGTCCGAAGGAAGTCCCAGCCTACGCAAGTCACATTGGCAGACGGTCACACACATAAGTCAATAGACCGGTGTATAGATGACGTCCCCGTATACTTTGCCCCGCATGCAAGCGAGGCGGTGTCCTTCGATATTTTGGACACCAAATTCGACATGATCTTGGGCATGTCATGGCTGCGAAGCGAGGATCACCCGGTGAACTTCTACCGCCGCACCGTTCACGTCCGTGATCGGAACGGAGTACTAGTCCCATGCACGGTAGCTCCTCCTCACCCTTCGATCAGCTGCCACGTGGTGTCCGCCGCAAGCATGCGAGCTTCCATCATCAGAGTTGACATCGAGGAGATGGGGGTGTGTTTTCTCCACGCCCTCCCGCCCCATGACGCTTCATCGACGGACTCATCTTCGGACCCACGCATCACCGAGCTTCTCGACGCCTACGGTGACGTGTTCGAAGACCCGCATGGAGTAGTACCGGATCGGCCCATCCGCCACGAGATCATCCTCGAGGACGGGGCCGTATCTCCGCGCAATTGCATCTACTGAATGAGCGAGGAAGAGTTAAGTGTGCTACGGGCACAACTCGACGACCTTCTAGAGAAAGGATGGATTCGGCCTAGCTCATCACCATACGGTGCTCCTGTTCTCTTCGTCCGGAAGAAGAACAAGGATTTGCGGTTGTGCATCGATTATCGCAAGCTCAACGCGCAAACGATCAGAAACGCCGACCCTCTTCCACGCATCGACGAACTTCTCGAACGGCTGGGCGGCGCCAAGTTTTTCTCCAAGCTGGACCTCAAGTCGGGATATCACCAACTCGAGATTCGGAAGGAGGACTGCTACAAGACCGCGTTTAAGATATGGGCACTTCGAATGGCTGGTTATGCCATTTGGCCTTATGAATGCCCCGGCCACTTTCCAAGCGGCTATGACAACGGAGTTCCGACACATGCTACATCGATTCGTACTTATCTACCTCGACGACATCCTGGTGTACAGCTAGAGTTTGGACGAGCATGTGGAACACATGTGCACCGTTTTAGAGCGACTACGACAAACCAAGTACAAAGCCAACCGCGACAAATGCGAATTCGCGCGGCAGGAGCTGGAGTACTTGGGACCTTATGTGACGCCGCAAGGCATCCGTCCGCTTGCGGACAAGATGGAGGCCCTCCGCGTATGGCCCGAGCCCACCAACACCACGGACGTTCGTTCATTCATGGGGTTGGCGGGTTACTATCAGCGATTCATCACCGGATACTCAAGGATTGCCGCACCTATGACGAGATTACAATCGCCAAAGGTGCCATTCGTATTCGATGATGACGCACGCCGGTCATTCCAAGCACTTAAGACGGCCATGCTCATGGCACCCGTCCTTAGCATCTATGACCCCACCCTGCCTACGAGAGTGACAACCGACGCTTTCGGCTATGGCATTGGGGCAGTCTTGGAACAACACGACGGTGACGACTGGCACCCGGTGGAGTATTTCAGCCACAAAGTGCCTCCCATCAACTCGCTTGATGATGCAAGGAAGAAGGAGCTGCTCGCGTTCGTGATGGCTCTCAAGCGATGGCGGCACTTCCTCCTTGGGCGTCGTAGGTTCACATGGGTTACGGACAACAACCCACTGACTTACTAAAAGACGCACGATATGTAAGTAGCACGATCGGACGATGGATGTACTTCATCGACCAGTTTGACTTCACACCGAAACATCTCCCCGGCCTCTCTAATCGCGCAGCAGATGTACTCTCGCGAAGACCTGATCTTTGCGCTATGACACATCATGCCTTCGCATTCGACGAGGAACTTCAGCAACACTTCATCCGGGGCTATGAGTCTGATCCGGACTTCGCCACGTTGTATGCGCAACTATCTTCGGATCACCCACCGGCCAGCCACTATCGCATTGCCGACGGGTACTTGCTCCTCCACTCGAGAGGCAAGGACTTATTATGTGTCCCACGAGACCGTCGTCTTCGGAC